GTATTAATATATCAAGGACAGGGGGCTACTGAAACTGGTAGTTCAAGCGTATCCTTGTAATGCCTGGGTCACATTTGCTCCGATTCATCATCCGGCGCCCGATTGCGTATTTTGTTTAAAATTGTATTCGGTTTTGAACAAAACACTTAATCGGCCTGCGCCCGGCCGATGAATCGGAGCAAATGTGACCCAGGCATATGAGGTTCAACATTTTAGATAAAGTATTGTTTGAAATCCTGGGAAAATGCACTCCCCCAATTTTGCAAATATGGTCTGGTGCCAATGAACCATCTAATATGTTTTCGTTTTCATGAGCAGCTAACAAATATGTTTATTCTCGTTCTGTCTCAGCTTAGTTTTAATTAAATTTTACCCCCACCCTTCGAACGTCTTTGTCTCCCTTATTTTTGCAACCCTACATTCAGTTTCTTTTTAAACCAAATCAAGAAATATCCGTCCACATGTCATATTAAATCCATAGTTGTTTATTATAAGATTATGTTTATAGATCATAAGCTATATATAGCCCTCTCCTCCCCCTTCGCCGACAGATAGAGATGTATTGTTTAAGATAATAAGTATCCCCGGCCAATAATTCTTGCACCATTTTGAGCAGTTTTCGTGTGGTTTTGAGCAATATATCAAATGTGACCCGACCCTTGGAATAATTCAAAAGTCATTCCCTTAGCAAATGCTAACTTCGGAGACGTTTCAAGACGAAATAATTGGTGTTGATTATTGGAAATATCCATTTAAACAGACCTTCTTAATTTATGACAAGTTTAAGTTAACAATAAAAAGAATGTTGCGATGCTTTTTGATTTGATAGCTCATATTTAGCAAAAGCAAAATACGAAATATAAATACATGCGGTAATTATAATTTAATTGTGTTTATAAATAGCGCAAAATCCCACATGGCAATTTTAATTTTGTCTTGGCATGTCTAGCCACGACGTGCTTAGAGATTTCTAGACTCTAGTCACGCTCTGTCCACGCCAGCTCTAAGCACATCTAAGCACGCCTAGAAATCTCTAGATACGCCGAGTTTCTAGACCGGCTAAGCACGTCTAGAAATTACTAGAAATTCAAAATTTGATGCAGTGTCAAGTGTGGGCAGCAACAAGAAACCATCTTTTTCTGTTTTGAGCATGCTGAGAAATTTATATGGTGGCCATTTTGGATTTTCAAGTGCAATACTTATAGTCAAGTAATTGGCTTTGGCCATTATACACCAATGGGTTTGGGATTGATCATTCTTAATCAAGTAATTGGCTTTGGCCATTATACACCAATGGGTTCGGGATTGATCATTCTTAATCAAGTAATTGGCTTTGGCCATTATACACCAATGGGTTCGGGATTGATCATTCTTAATCAAGTAATTGGCTTTGGCCATTATACACCAATGGGTTCGGGATTGATCATTCTTAATCAAGTAATTGGCTTTGGCCATTATACACCAATGGGTTCGGGATTGATCATTCTTAATCAAGTAATTGGCTTTGGCCATTATACACCAATGGGTTCGGGATTGATTATTCTTAATCAAGTAATTGGCTTTGGCCATTATACACCAATGGGTTCGGGATTGATCATTCTTAATCAAGTAATTGGCTTTGGCCATTATACACCAATGGGTTCGGGATTGATCATTCTTAATCAAGTAATTGGCTTTGGCCATTATACACCAATGGGTTCGGGATTGATCATTCTTAATCAAGTAATTGGCTTTGGCCATTATACACCAATGGGTTCGGGATTGATCATTCTTAATCAAGTAATTGGCTTTGGCCATTATACACCAATGGGTTCGGGATTGATTATTCTTAATCAAGTAATTGGCTTTGGCCATTATACACCAATGGGTTTGGGATTGATCATTCTTAATCAAGTAATTGGCTTTGGCCATTATACACCAATGGGTTCGGGATTGATCATTCTTAATCAAGTAATTGGCTTTGGCCATTATACACCAATGGGTTTGGGATTGATCATTCTTAATCAAGTAATTGGCTTTGGCCATTATACACCAATGGGTTTGGGATTGATCATTCTTAATCAAGTAATTGGCTTTGGCCATTATACACCAATGGGTTTGGGATCGATCATTCTTAATCAATTAATTGGCTTTGGCCATTATACACCAATGGGTTTGGGATTGATCATTCTTAATCAAGTAATTGGCTTTGGCCATTATACACCAATGGGTTTGGGATTGATCATTCTTAATCAAGTAATTGGCTTTGGCCATTATACACCAATGGGTTTGGGATTGATCATTCTTAATCAATTAATTGGCTTTAGCCATTATACACCAATGGGTTTGGGATTGATCATTCTTAATCAAGTAATTGGCTTTGGCCATTATACACCAATGGGTTCGGGATTGATCATTCTTAATCAAGTAATTGGCTTTGGCCATTATACACCAATGGGTTCGGGATTGATCATTCTTAATCAAGTAATTGGCTTTGGCCATTATACACCAATGGGTTTGGGATTGATCATTCTTAATCAATTAATTGGCTTTGGCCATTATACACCAATGGGTTTGGGATTGATCATTCTTAATCAATTAATTGGCTTTGGCCATTATACACCAATGGGTTTGGGATTGATCATTCTTAATCAAGTAATTGGCTTTGGCCATTATACACCAATGGGTTCGGGATTGATCATTCTTAATCAAGTAATTGGCTTTGGCCATTATACACCAATGGGTTCGGGATTGATCATTCTTAATCAAGTAATTGGCTTTGGCCATTATACACCAATGGGTTTGGGATTGATCATTCTTAATCAAGTAATTGGCTTTGGCCATTATACACCAATGGGTTTGGGATTGATCATTCTTAATCAATTAATTGGCTTTGGCCATTATACACCAATGGGTTTGGGATTGATCATTCTTAATCAATTAATTGGCTTTGGCCATTATACACCAATGGGTTTGGGATTGATCATTCTTAATCAAGTAATTGGCTTTGGCCATTATACACCAATGGGTTTGGGATTGATCATTCTTAATCAAGTAATTGGCTTTGGCCATTATACACCAATGGGTTCGGGATTGATCATTCTTAATCAAGTAATTGGCTTTGGCCATTATACACCAATGGGTTCGGGATTGATCATTCTTAATCAAGTAATTGGCTTTGGCCATTATACACCAATGGGTTTGGGATTGATCATTCTTAATCAATTAATTGGCTTTGGCCATTATACACCAATGGGTTTGGGATTGATCATTCTTAATCAAGTAATTGGCTTTGGCCATTATACACCAATGGGTTCGGGATTGATCATTCTTAATCAAGTAATTGGCTTTGGCCATTATACACCAATGGGTTCGGGATTGATCATTCTTAATCAAGTAATTGGCTTTGGCCATTATACACCAATGGGTTTGGGATTGATCATTCTTAATCAAGTAATTGGCTTTGGCCATTATACACCAATGGGTTTGGGATTGATCATTCTTAATCAATTAATTGGCTTTGGCCATTATACACCAATGGGTTTGGGATTGATCATTCTTAATCAATTAAATGGCTTTGGCCATTATACACCAATGGGTTTGGGATTGATCATTCTTAATCAAGTAATTGGCTTTGGCCATTATACACCAATGGGTTTGGGATTGATCATTCTTAATCAAGTAATTGGCTTTGGCCATTATACACCAATGGGTTCGGGATTGATCATTCTTAACAGCAAGTTGGTGCACCAGCATGTTCAAAATTGGCATACGTTTTCATTTTAACCCATTTGATACTTTCTAAAATATTGAATTGAACCAGTTTGTGGGCATCCACGATTATAAACATGTTCAAATTATACAGGGTGTACCAAAAAAACTTGAATATCTCTTCAACCAATAGAGGAAAGTTTGCAGAATTAAAGGACAATGTTTCACCACTATAGCAATTTTTCAGTTTCAATTTGTTTATATCACAAAACACATACAATATACATATACAATGAGTGTGTGACACAAGGGTTTGTGTATATTCCCAAGATGGAGTAAATTTACAAAGTATATATTGTATTGCCCATTTGCTGGCCATTCAAATAATGTGCCCCAAATGGGCGTCTCTGAAGACAGACTTGCAAAGACTTTGCCCAGCTGTTGACAACATACCTGCATTCATCCCTGCTGGATATGGCTCTTATCTTTTGTGTTATCTCTTGTTTCAGTTCTGCAATAATTTGAGGGTTGTTGGCAGACACATTAAGGAGCCCCCACAGATAAGAATCTGGGGGTTCAGGTCTTGGGAGTGGGACGTGGGGTGCACAGTTGTTAATTGCTCTATGACTGGTGAATTAGATCTTCAAAATGATTCTGAAGCCACTTCAAGGTGATGTTGGATGTGTGTGGTGTAGTTCCATCTTTAGACCAATGGGTTGGCCTATCATCTTCTTTGTAGAGCCCAACAAAACTTTCTGAGCACAACAATATAAGATAAGACTATGTGTTTATGCTTACATTTTGCCCTTCCTCATTTTCAATCAAGTACAGCCCAATGATTCCATGTTAACTCAAAGCACACTATACAGTGCATCTGGCACAATGAAGTGGCCACTTCATCAGGAGCGTTGTTGGTTATTCCAAAAAACATAGTTCTTGCTATTTACATAGCCATTCAACTAAAAATGTGCTTCATCGCTAAACCAAACGTCATTGCAAGTCTTGTCTTCAGAGACACCATTCCCATTTTAAGCATATTATTTGAATGGTCAGCAAATGGGCCATACACTAATTATAGTAGTAGTGAAACTTTGACAACCTAAAGAACATTGAACTAAATCTAATTGTGTAAACTTTATTTTATAAAACTCTATTGGTTCAAGAGATATATATGTTTTGGTGGGTAAGGTTTTTTGGTACACCCTGTATATGTACACATGTGTTTTATTTTATGTTGGAACCCCAGCCCCACTAGTATGCATTGAATACTTAATGAATTGAGTCCCTTCATGTTTTTTGAAATGTTACAGGTTCTGGCGTGGTATGTACAACAGGTTTGACATAGGTGTACACCCAAGAGAGAACATTGCAGATATCATCAGTGCAATGAAGGACCACACTGACTCCATGGAGGATCATGTTGCCCTACTTGAAAAAGTAAGTTTTGACCCAATGTGTAGCATATCATAGTTTAAATCAATTGTGTGTCTAGATCCCCTTCTGTGACTTCTGTATTCATGTGTTTCCTGCTTCATTTCAGAGAGTAAAATCCATGTGTAAACTCCTTGGAAAGTCTGATGAAACAGTACAACGAAAATTGCAAGGAATGGTGGTTTCCTCAGAGTCATTATTTTCAATCAGCGACCTCACTGACTTAGCACACAAATTCACATCTGGTAATCACCTTGAAAACGATGGTGATCTTAGTCCTAATGAGGGTGCAATTAATAATGGCGTCAAACATAGTGATTCAGAGTCTGGATTTGAAGATGAAGGATCATTGATGTCAAAATCAGGAGTTGATGATAGTCCCACAGCGCCACCTAGGTCATTATCTATGTTGGAGGATAATGATAATTTGGCAGTTGATACTCTCCTTATGGAGCTTCATTCCATCGCAGTTGACTGGAGACAGTTGAGAAATGTCACACAATGTAGCTGTGCAGCGCCATTTGAACATTTCACTAAAAAGGTAAACATTTCTCCTTTATGCTACTATGATTTATAGCTGAGCAAATGAGAGCTTCAAAGTCTGCTCCTTATAAAAATAAATGAAGTGGTCTCAGGCCTGCTTACGGACTCATTGCTAAGATGTCATATTATTTATAATATCACCAGGAGGCTAATTTAGTAAATAACAATTTTATTTGAAAACATCTTCATGGAGAATAACAAAAGTTACTCTAGTACAATAAAAGAGTCTATGAAAAACCGATTAAGTGTCAAACTAAATGTAAATGTAAAAATTATATGCATTTGAAGTTGTCATCTAAAATATTGTAAATTTCTATGCTCATTATTTTGTGATAAAAGGTGGAAAATGCAGAGGTCTTTAACAATCAAATAAAATATTAAAACCCAATTTACTAAACTTTGCCTGAAATGTGTGAAGTAAATAAGAAAGAGTGATGATTTTCTGCCCCCTTGGCACTTTTTGCCCTCCAAACTCATGTGATAACAGAAAGTATGATATATCGGAGGGAAAGGAATATTTAGACAGAACCTCTGAACCTTCAATAGGCATAGCAATTTTGTAAAATGTTCTCGCTGAATCGCTCGAAACTTGTTTTAGCCATGAGAGAATAGACTTGTGTGCTATATATTATTAAGTGATAATTCTACAACTAAACTGAACAAGACTAGATTTTTAACCGTTTAGTTTCCCAGAACTGTGAACTGGAAGTTCATACTTTAATGTCAGGGTGCATTTTCGGAATTTTGATGCAACCCTCAATAGAGTCATATGTTATTTTCAGTGAAAATATTCAGAAAATTTTTAGAAAATGTTTTCACTGAATTTTCTCATTTTTTATACATACACAAATCTTCTCACCAGTCTTTTCTAGGCACATAAAGTGCACTCTTTGTGCAAAACTGGAAGATGTAGACTATGTGGGGAAGTAGTGATTCCTGTTTGAAAAATAACATGCGACTCAATTGAATGCAGAAAAATTCCCAACATGCACCCTGGCCTTAAAATTGATTACCCGGACCCACTGTACATGAATCTACATGGCACTTTATTTAAGACATCATCAATAATTTTTAAATGAAGAATTCATGCTAACTACACGTATATATATCTAAAAATATGAATTGTTATATTATTGTTTTCCAGTACCACTGCTGGAAGTGTGGTAATGTGTTCTGCACACGCTGCATCGATCGTCACATTCCATTACCTGGCCATTATTCCCAGCGCCCTGTTCCTGTCTGTCGGCCATGTTACAAAGAAATCAAACACTCACCATCCACACCTGATTTCCGTGCAGTCATAGCAGGCCTCCCTCTATTAGCAGTGCCATCTATAGAGGCAACTCAATAGCAGTCATGTAGAACAATCATTTTAGCAGAACAGTGGAAATAAGTGCAATTTGCGGGAATAATCATGAAATCATTTATTTTGCATCAATAATAACAAAACATGATTAAACTGACATTATTGATTACTGTACTCCCACTAATATTTGACGCTATTATTTTTCGCTTTTTGGCATTTTGAAATTAATCTTGTCATACAGGATCACTCTTTCGACTTTGATATCAGCCATTAATGTTCCTTCACCCAATGATTTTGGCTTCTCATTAAGCCTTTTCGTTAGAATGTTCATTTTAATACAGTAATAACGATCTCTCTTCTAATTTCTCTTTTTCAAAACTCAAAATGTCACGTTTTCACCTATTATTGCCCAGCAGTGGACGAAAATATTGTCAACATTGAAATCCCCGGGAATTTCCTTGGAATTTCGCGACTATCAAATTTCCTGAATTAAAACTGGAGGATTTTCGTGGCTATTATATTTCGCAAATTTTCCAAAACTCGCTAAAAGCGTGAAATATAGTAGCGCACAAAAATTACCGGGAGTACAGTATATCATTGATAATGAATATTAGAATTGAACAAAGAGTTTAATTCTATGAATTATGCATTATATCTCACCTAACATTTGTTTCATATTGCCAATGCCAAAAACCTTTTCAGTCTGATTTCGTTAATTCACTTATAGCTTATGTATACAAGTTTGTGTAATACGTCATTATTTGTCACACAGGTCTATGCATCCATAAGCAATGCATATGAGTTAATCCTTTTTTTTGTTAAAAATGTTATCTTATATATCTATATATGCTGATGCCCAGGGATAAAGGAGCTCTGCTTATGAAGAAAGTTTCAAGATGGCTGCTTTTTTTCTGAACATTTTATGCTCAGTTTTGTTTTCTAGTAGCAGAAGATCATTTGCAAATGGATGTGGTATTACAGAGAGGTGTGTTATCCACTGTCTGCCATGTGTTATCCACTGTCTGCCATGTGTTATCCACTGTGCAGCATCATCAGATACCTGGTATTTGTCATTGGTTTGACAACATGTACATTATGAGAACATGATAAGTGTGTTTCATTGTTGTAAAAATTGTTGAATAAATAGATAAATATATATACAATATGTACAGTATTCAGTTTTTTACTTGATAATAATCTTGCACTAAAGACAAGGGTGTATTTTATGTCTGGAGATAGAAAGACTTATATTAAACAAACCAAAACTCAAGAAATATTAATGAATAATTTACTGCAGTATATCTTCAACCCAAGAGAAGACAATATACAATTATTTAACCATTCATCTTATTATCCCAACCAACAAAATTCAATCTCACAATAATTTAATCTCTTCAAAGTATCATCATATACTCAAATTGAAGGAATTTTAGAGTAGATCACAATAATGGTAATTTGTTTATCTGTTTTGTGCCTTGATTGAAGGCAATACAAGATGCTTTTCAGTAATTCCATAATTGTGCAGGGCTCTGGTCAGTTTCACTTGGAATTTGTAACGTCTTTTAACATTGATATGCAACAAAATCCCCATTCATTTGTTACTTTGATTGCACGTCATTGTGTTATATGTATATACGCTTTATATTATTTTATTAAATAGTAAAGTAATTGTTTCTCTAAAATTTTAATAATGAATAAAAAGTGCGCGGAATGCAACTTAGATGCCGTTATAGGGGAAAACATTACCTACTTTTTCTAAATAGAGGTACATGTACATGTTAAATTGAATTCAAATTCTAATTTCTCATATGTCAGCCAAAAACTTCCCATTCGCTAATATGGTGAGAAAAATATCCCACGAACAAAAAATATATGATTTACAGAGAGCATTGATTTCCAAGCTTATAGTCATATAGTTTTGAACATGCACTTCACTATTGAAGTTCAGGGAATAACAATATTCAGATATTGACACATCCATAACGTTCTTCATTGGTCGAGTAGCAGTCAATATACTCAACAATGGCCTGGACTAAAACCAAAAATCTAGCACGCACGGTCAAGGCAGGGTAGAGTGAACACATGAAAATAAAGTCCTCTATTCGTTCTCATAGTACCTCATTTAAAATGATCATCTTGTTATTCTGTTCAACTTCAACACTGAAAATCCTTCACAATACGTTTCATCTAAATAAACTTGTTAAATGTTAAGCTTAATCAAATTGTTGATCCCATTATTTACCAGCCAAGATGTGCCCTTGATCTGAACTTGCTAATCAAAGAGCTTGTAAAATCCTTTGAGCTTGTAAAATCCATTAAAAATTGATGTAAGTTATAAAATAACACATACTACAAAATTGATGTCAATGCTATCACTGCTATCAAGCTAAGGTATCGGCTGTCACCTTCGCATCAAAGATGGCAGACGAGAAGTATCGATTTCAATACTTTTAGTTCGAATCGAATTAGACTACTTTATAGTTGGCGTAATACTTTGATATTTGAACTAAATCCGACTTATATGACATGGAAACTCTGGAGTATGATCATTTGTTCATATATCATGTGTGGGCGCAAGAGTTCAACGATATCTACCACCACTTAAGAGAAGATAACTGGGATTTTAGTTTTACAGATGATAAGATAACTGATATGTGGTGATGTGGTAACGTTATGAGAGTTTATCATGGAGAGCTAAGATGTCTTATTACCGTATATTGAAAACTAACATGACTGTTACCATATCTTACATTTCCAATTACCTTCCCTTAAGTGGAGGAAGATATCGTTGAATTGTGGACCTACACATGATATGTGAATAGTTTATCATACTCCATAGTTCCCATGTCATATAAGTCAGATTTACTTCAAATATCAAAGCATGGCGTCAACTATAAAGTAATTTAATTCAATGAAAACTAAAAATATCGAAATCGACACTTCCCGTCCGCCATCTTTGATGCGAAGGTGATGGCCATTACCTTCGCTTGATACTGACCAGTGGCTATAACATATGACACAATATGACATTTTATGTTTCAATTTTTATAAGGCCAAATGAAATGGATACTCTGACATAGTTAGAACAACTGCATCATGTTTTTAACGACTCAGAATTTAACCATTTTTCTCGATTAGAATCTAAAATAATCTTCACCAATTCATGACAGATTCATAATCATTTGATGTACAGCTTAATCCATTTATAAGGAGCCATCGTTTATAAAACGTTTATAAATATTTTTAGTGACATGTATTTGGTATCAATGGATGGTGTCTGTAAAAATTTGTACATTTTCACAAAGAAGGTTTTGATAAACCTATTTGATAATGGTCAAATACACAGGTAAGACATGTATGTACATAATATGTTGTATAGTAGAGGTAGTGCAATGCATGGATGAGACTCTGTGTTTCAATTGGGAATAACTAGAGATGTCACGGAACAAAAAAAAATCGGAACGGTTCGGAACATTTTGCTTTGGAATGGAACAATTTCGGAACGGTTCGGAACAGAGTGACTGCGTGTATAAGATTAAAATAAGCTGATCATCTATATTATATATTTGGGAGCGAAAAGCTCTTCAAAACTCTTCAATGAGAAGGAGTGAAAAGAAGGAACCTCTTTTGGTGCAAAATATTGAAAGAATAATGCTGTTTTGTGGCGATTCAAGGGCCAAAAGTTATAAAGGGGAAAAATGTTCATGTTCCGGAACCGAACCGAAATTCGCAATTTGTGTTCCGTTCCGAGGGCATAATTCCGCGGATCGGAACAAATTCGGGTATCCGTGACACCTCTAGGAATAACCAATCATATTGTTTCAACTGTATTCTGTCATCCATGAATATTGTGCTTATCCACTTGTAGCTAGTTCAAGAATTGTTTTACAGTGAACATTAAAGAGCTATATGACCAATCCTGTACTTAAAGCAAAAGTACTTACACTAGACCATGTATTCAAAGAGTAATATGACCAATCCTGTACTAATATAGAGGTATGTAATGTAATCCAAACTCCATGTACATCCATGATAGTTTTTTTTATTTATTTATTGCATATACTGGACAAATACTGCAAAAACATAATTACAAATAGAGTCATTGATCATGACTTTTTATATCCTGCATGAGTTTAAGTTCATTGTTTAGCACCATTGGTGTCATGCATGCCTAGGATGCTTGCATTGTTAAGCACTATTGGTTTCCTCATGAGTTCAATGTTCATTGTTCAGCACCATTGGTGTTATACATGCCTTCATTGTTAAGCACTATTGGTTTCCTCATGAGTTCAATGTTCATTGTTCAGCACCATTGCTGTTATACATGCCTTCATTGTTAAGCACTATTGGTTTCCTTATGAGTTCAATGTTCATTGTTTAGCACCATTGGTGTCATGCATGCCTAGGATGCTTGCATTGTTAAGCACTTAAGATTTCCTCATGAGTTCAATGTTCATTGTTCAGCACCATTGGTGTCATGCATGCCTAGGATGCTTGCATTGTTAAGCACTATTGGTTTCCCCATGAGTTCAATGTTCATTGTTCAGCACCATTGGTGTTATACATGCCTTCATTGTTAAGCACTATTGGTTTCCTCATGAGTTCAATGTTCATTGTTCAGCACCATTGCTGTTATACATGCCTTCATTGTTAAGCACTATTGGTTTCCCCATGAGTTCAATGTTCATTGTTCAGCACCATTGGTGTTATACATGCCTTCATTGTTAAGCACTATTGGTTTCCTCATGAGTTCAATGTTCATTGTTCAGCACCACCATTGGTGTTATACATGTCTTCATTGTTAAGCACTATTGGTTTCCTCATGAGTTCAATGTTCATTGTTCAGCACCACCATTGGTGTTATACATGCCTTCATTGTTAAGCACTATTGGTTTCCTCATGAGTTCAATGTTCATTGTTCAGCACCACCATTGGTGTTATACATGCCTTCATTGTTAAACACTGTTGGTTTCCTCATGAGTTCATTGTTCAGCACCACTGATGTTATGCATGCCTTGTTGTCATACATTGATGGTTTCATTGTTTAGCACTTTTGGCGTCCTGCATGAATTCTTTGTTCATTGTTGAGAACTAATATGTTTTTGCTCACAAGCGCTCCAAATCTGCTTCTATTTCAACTTTCTGATTATTTTTGAAAAAGCTACTTAAAACCTCCTTAGTTTTTTGCTTCACTGAAAATATAATGAGAAAAAATGGTTGTAAAACAATTCAGCCATTATCTCCAAAAATAATAATACCCAGATTTTCAAAATGCAAAACATTAAACATTCGTTAAATATTTAAGGAACAAATAATGATAGGCCATTCAATATGGTGAAATTCAGCACAAGTTGGACAGAA